ACAGTGCCCCTCAGGTCTTTGCGATTTAAAGCTTTGAGTGGCACTTCAACTGCTATGGACAGGTGTGTCGGTTACCAACAGGTGCACGACTTGTTCGTCCCGCCATCGTAACTTAGTATCATAAAAAAGCACGACTCGTTTCAGTATTGCTATTGATTCTGAAATCAGAAAAGTCATTTCAATTTTATTCAAAGAAGTGTATAAATCAAACATTCCTTGTTTCAGCATCCCACGGTGACCCACTAACAAGTCATCAGCGAAACATCTATCCCAGTACATTTACACTGTATACAAAGTAAGTTACATTGTATTACTTTCCCGGTGTAACCGAATTCTGGGTATAACTAGTTATTAAGCCTCTAGGCCATATCATTGTAACCACTCACAATTGTGTTCTATGTTTATTAAATTGAATCGAGACAGTAAATGTTTTGGATGTCGCTTCTTAGTCTGTTTTGTACGGATCCCTAGTAACTTTAAACTACAAGTACATATTTGATAGCGTGGAGTGCCTGCAGTGCATTTTTTAATGTCCAATTAAAGCTCCTTAAGGTGAAGAGTATTTTCTCAATACTTTAATTTTAAATATTATATTTTGATAAAGTTCTCTTAAAATTGTCAGAAGTTTAGTTTATTTGTTTGGCCGTGAATTGTTGGCTAAATTATACGAGTTAAGCCTAAAAAGTGTCAGAATAAACTTGCCAAAGCTATCCTAGTTTCTCCTGATACGCTTAGGTTTAACTTTTTTTAATGTTCAATAGCATTGTATTTATTCAACATACTATTATATTTATAAAAAACATAGTACAGTCCATTGCCTAAGGTATGTGAGCTCCTAACCGATCATTTGGTTCTGAGAGCCAAATTTATACCAAAAATTATGCCAAATTTATGCCAAATTTATATATTAAATCGGTAAATTGTCTTATGACAAATTTCAGTTCTCGAAGAAAAATAAAACAATATTTAAAAAAAACGGTAAAAGTATATTGCGTGTGGTTGTGTATGTGATAATTATATAAGGTGGCCACCTTATATAATGGAGAAGTAAAGGTTGAGAAAATATGATGAATAACTGTATTCAATTTCCACCAAGGTAAACTAAATAATTTTAAGAACGTCTGAAGTTAGGTACGTTAGGTCTGAAAGTACTTATACAAAAAAGTTCTTAACTAAAGGAATTTTGTCTACGTCCGATGAGGAACGTTGGGCCGAAAAGTGAGTTTATAATTATTAACACGTAAAATAATAATTTTGTCAGCGGTTACGTTGTAATAATGCAAGGAGCGCATGTTTCTGCTGCGAATGCAAGTGCGTTGACTTGATGTTACAGTAATTCACATATCTGGATACATAACAAAACAACAAAATAACTACTAAGGATATAATAATGATTTGTTGTTTCATGGATTATATTAAGTCTATTTTCAGCGAGAGTCCAAATATTGGACAACGAATACTACTGACTACGGCTTCCGTCGGCTCTCTCCGCATTAACGCAAATACTAACTGTGCGATAATAATGCATGGCCGACGTGAAACAGGATTAGGTCCAATGAGCACAACCGTACGAGATGGTAAGCACTGAAAACCGTCTCAAAATTATTCAAAAGAATTTGGATTATTATTATGGTGCATTTCAATCAAAATCGGATAAGAAGAATATTACACACTCTCGAATACAATTGTTATGTTACGTCATATAGTCGGCTTAAATAACCCGATCACTTGCAATGCTTTCTTAAATTTAATATAACGTTGATACGTTACACTTGAATAATTAGTAAATATAATAAAATTGTTCGTTTTAGCTCTATTTACAGGTCGGACCGTGAATGTTATTGTTGTGGACTGGTCACAAGAAGCTAGTGGCCAATGGGTTGAAGGTTCTATAAACGAAGTTTCAAAAGAAGTAGTTGAATTAGTCCGACTATTGACGGTTAACAACAAAGCCAGTCCAGTGAGACTTCATCTTATCGGATTTGATTTAGGTGCTCATGTAATTGGTCTCGTTGGCAGAACATCAACTTACACCATAGCCAGAATTACGGGTGAGTATTTTTTTTTTATTAATAGTAACTATACTAATATAAACCGATTGTCTTAAACTGAAAAAATCCTTGTACTATGAGTACCAAAGCAGCAGAAATCACACAGGAATCAGCATCACCTAGCATACTCAGATCAGAACCAATTTAGAAATATTATTTTCTCAAATTGATCCTACCGGATATTTCTTAGATATAAAAAAATATATATTATATATTCTACTCCTCATCCATTTGTGTTAACCCAGGGGGTAGTGATAACCCAGTAGAAAAGCAGTAGTAGTAAACCAGTTGCTTCTCAATTATTACTTTTTTATAAAAATGTTCGTGCGCGACCTCCATCTCATATATCTATGTGTGCCCATGGCACCCGCGACACGGGATTTCCTTAGTGCGGGGCTATGTTGTGTGTGTGCGTTATTATTATATAAAAAAAATTATAATTAAACTTATAACGTTCAGGGAACAAATCTGCAGGCAGGGAATTCCACTCCATAGCCGTTCGCCATATAAATGTGAAAGCGTAACGCTTCGTGCAAATCTTTGGAATATACTCAACATAATGGTGGAACTCAAGCCTACGTCTAGTGATGATAAGGGGAAGGCGGAATTAAATCGTGTAATTCCATCGCACACTCTCCGTGATATATCCTGTATAATACCGACAACTTTACGAACTTTACGGCAGTGTTCGAGGCTCTGCAGCTTCGCCTTCACCTATTCCGAGTCACCTATAAACCTCTTGGTTGTGTATTAAAAACCAGGTGGCCAGTTAGTATATAGTAAAGACTTCCCAAAGGTGGCAGCAGTACTCCATGCACGACATAACTTGTGCTTGATACAGCTGAAGCAACTGTCCCGGGTAAAGTAACGCCTCTCCCTGGAAAGGATGCCAAGCTTCTTGGCTGCATTTTTGGTCATAGATTCAATGTATCTGCCGAACTTCAAATTGGACGACAGGTCCGTTCCAAGTAGCTGAGACAGTCGGCTATCGGTATGGATACATCACAGAAAGTCGGCGTCAGCTCAAAGGGATTCCGATTTCCAGAGAATAGACACGCCTGCGTTTTGGTAGCGTCAAATTTGACACGATTGGCATCGCCCCAATCGGAGGCTGCCGTGATTGTCAAATCTAAACGGCTAACCTTGCACTATTCACAGCACTGGGTTGCCTCTCAATCTTTGAATTTTAAATTTTAATTGCGGGCAGTAGTTTGAATACTTGTGGCGACATGCACCTATGACTTTAATTTCTAAGTTTCGTCTATTTTTCAATATTTAGTGGCACTGCCTTTCACTAACGTAGTAGAAATGTAGCAGTAGAGCTTCATGTGAAAGAGTTCGTCCAGGGAAGTACTGTCACTTTACCTACCTCTGCCGTCAAGCAGTAATGTGAGCATTACTGCGTTCTGGTTTCGAAGGGTAAGGACGCTGGTGAAATTACGGTCCCATTGGACTTGTCAACTTATGTCTCAGGATGACGGGCGCAGCGGCAGTGCCCCTAAGAGATTAGCGATTTAAAGGCCTTAGTTGCCACTAATACTACACTAGTTTCCTTTATCCATAACAGTTGCAGTGCCCTGCAACTGTTATGGATAAAGGAAAACATCGTGATAAAACCTGGCCGTCGAAAAAGGTAAAAACCCTATTGAAAACATGTGAAGTACTCAAAGAACAGACTATGGCCTAAAACCTCTCCTTAGAGGAAACTCGTGACCAGCAGAAAATTAACAATGAAAAATCATCGGAGTTACTACCGAGTTAATTCAATTTTTTTTAATTACAGGTCTTAATCCAGCCAAGTCTTTGGAAGGGAATGCAAACGGCTTGAGAAGAACCGATGCCAATTACGTTGAAATTATACATACGGAAACAACCAAACACGGTATTTTAAATCCTGTGGGTGATGCTGATTTTTACCCTCATGGTGGCAAGGATCAACCCGGCTGTGTACCTGAAAAAAAAGAAAACAGTTCCGCACAGTTCGATGACACTGACAACAGTGACACCGAGTGTAGCCATAACCGTGCTTGGGAATTATTCGCCGCTTCTTTGACTCACGGTCGTATCATTGGCAATAGATGTCCGGGCATACGTGATGCCATTTCAGATAAACCTTGTACTGGGTTTACTCTGGCTTTGGGCACAAACGATTTAGTTAAATACGGGTAAGATACTTTTATTTTGATATGTAAATATTTATTCACTTTTATATAAATTTGTCAAAAATACCAAGAATAAACGGGAATATGTCGTCGGTGTTTTGTAGAAAGGGCGTAAGCGTTATTTTTTATATTTTATTTTATATAGTGTGTGTGCGGGTTCAATTCCCGGGCCATGACAAATATTTATATGGCTTACATTTCTCTCGTTAGGTTGAATGTAATTTGTGGTTGCATATTGTACCCACGACTCAGGGTTCCCTTAGTGCGGTGCCATGAGTGGCAAGCAATGTTGAATTATCACTTACCAGTCACTACACATCTTACTTTTATTTATTTAAGTTCTAAGGTGTAAAATACACTTCTCGGTCCAATGCGAGCTTGCCGATTTTAGCATGTCTTCGTTAAATATACTATTTTATTGACAGTCCTAAGTTAGAAGGTAAATTAACACAGTAATTTCGATAATTAAAAGTTGGTTTTTATTTTCAGGTCTGGTACATACCGTCTCGAAACGACGGAAGTCTACCCGTATCGCTGCTTGGTCAAGTGTGGACTAGTCGACAATGTTATAGATGCTATTGAAAAGTTTACCAAACCACCTGGAACAGGTGGCGTCTAAATTGGTTATTAATTCCTGTTTTTTTTTTAAAGGAACCTCAATGTTTTCATTAATTCGGAAACGGCTACAGTAATTTTATATAAATAAATAGCACACACACTCATGACGTATTATAGAGATATTTTAAGTTTAGTATTATTTATTGCAACGTTTCATATACACTAACTCCCACTGACTCTTAGAGCAATGACCTTTTTTATCGAAATTAAAATTTCAACACTTTATCATCATCATCATCAAGCAGCCTCTACTCCATCCGTCTTCGGATATAGGCTTCCTCTACACATTATATATAACGCCAAAACATGTTATTAACATTTTTACAAGACACTTAATCAACAATTGTATATTGTATGAGAAACAAGGTCGCAACTATACATTTAAAAAGTTTAATCTAAAGTTGTTTAATAGAAAATCATGAAGACAAAAATTATTACAATTGACACTATTGCTTGTGTACGCCTCTGTAGAAGCTGAAATTAATTTGATCTCTATTCTGATACGTAAAAGTCAACATGTAACGCCTAGTTTCTTTCTACAAATCACATAGTATAATATAAATGAATTTCGAACTAAACTTAATAAATTATATTCTTCCAGAATTTACATTTTTTTAATATTCCACAGCAACCTGTTATATTTTTAAATATATACAAACTATAACGCCTGTCTCTCGAAGGAATATATAGTGACTACGGACCTCCAGTTGCTTCTCTCTGGATGTACGTCAATTGCTTCTGCTAATCGCATCAACCTCTGCATAAATATTAAATTTCATGGGTTGACTCTACTGAATAACTTTCACTATGCCACTCATGTGTAATTGGCTAATTTTGATCCAAGGTGGGGTGGTATGGTTGGTATAATCCTCATCTTCCCAAACAAAACACGGGCAGTTGATCGGATTATGTCCACAGACAGTAAAAATACAGTAGTGAGATGGATATGTCTTAACCACTAGTAGCAGAAGAGCTCTTTGTGAAGAGTTCATCCAGGGAAGTATACTGTCATCTGACCTATTTCAGTAATATGAGTACTACTGAATTCCGGGTTTGAAAGGTAAGGGTGCTGGTGAAATTAGAGGCACATGGCACTTGTCAACTTATGTCTCAAAGTGACGGGCGCAATGGCAGTGTCCCTCAAATCTTTACGATTCAAAGCTTTGAGTGACACTAAAACTGTTATGGACAGACGAGTCGCTTACCACCAGGCGCACGATTTGTTCGAACCGTCACTAGGTATGATAAAATAAACTACTTAGGAAAAGGATAGTGAATTATTTCAACAGTAATCAGTATGTAATTCACAAAATTGTGAGATCATCAAAATTTCTAATTATATGACAAAATTTAAAAACATGCATAAAAACTTTATGTCCGCTAAGTGCTAAGAGATAATCATCTAATCGATATTTTCTGATCCACATTTTTTAATCATCCTTGTACCATGATCAAACGATATGGGTAATATGGATAAATTACATTTAATTATCTTAGCTTTTAAATAGAAAAGTATTTGAGTGATAAGTACACAGTCTTCATAAAGTTTTGCAGAACAGGGGATTATTTTTGAAAGAATGTTTAAAATTCTTCTAATATTAGCCGCTGTGATAGCAGGTAACAATTTCTTTTTAACTGTTTCTTTTAATAATATTTACTATTTAATTATTGATTGAACTTAATTGAACTTGAACTATTTTTGACTTGCTCCGTGGACAATGTCAATTTTCATTATTTGATTATTTCTTGTTAAAAAGTCATTGACAATGTTGAACAAATGTAGTAGCAAACAAAAATAAAAAACAATCTAATTATCTTCTACAGGTCTGAAAGTTTTATTAACATTATATTCAAATATGTAACACTGAAATGGACAGTTATTTCTTGTCGTCGAAATATTAATAAATAGTAGCAGTAGAGCTTCTTGTGAAAAAGGAAGTATTTCCCCCTTACTGCGTTCCGATTTTGAAGCGTAATGATGCTGGTGAAATTACCAGCACGTGGGATTTGTAAACTTGCGTTTTTTTTACGATACAAAGTGATGGGGCGAATAAGTCGTAAACGTAAACGACACACCCGTACATAACAGTTGTCCTGAGACATAAGTTGAAAAGTCCCATGTGCCTGTAATTTCACCCACACCCTTCAAAACTGGAACACAGTAATGCTAACATACTGCTTGGCGGCAGAAATAGGTAAGGTGGCAGTACTTCCCTGGAAGAACTCATTCACAAGGAGCTTTACAGCTACTAAATTATGTATCCGGGTGCCGGGCGCATTGGCAGTGCCCTTGCGTTTTAAAGCTTTGAGTGGCACTGCAACTGCAATGGACAGGTGTGTCGCTTGACCACCAGGTGCACGACTTGTTCGTCTCGTCATCGTTTGTATATTGCCATTGATTCTGAAATCAGAAACAATTAAATTTCAATTTTATTCAAAGAACTGCGTAGAGCAAACATTCTTTGTTTCAGCATCCCACGGTTACCCACTAACAAGTCATCCGCGAAACATCTTCCCTAGTACATTTATACTGTATACAAAGTATGTTACATTGTATTATATTCCCGGTGTAACCCAATTCTGGGTCAAACTATATATACACGACCTCTAGACCGTGGGTAATTACCCACAACTGTGTTTTATGTTTATTAAATAGAATCGATACTTAGTCAAAGTTTTGAATGTCGCTTCTTACCCTGTCTTTTATGAATCCCTAGCAACTTTAAACTACATATTTGTTAACGTGAAGTGCCCATTTTTTATTGTCAAATTAAAGCTCCTTAAGAATTAAAAAGAGTTTTTTATCAATACTTTCATTTTAAATATACCGAGTGGAACGAAATTACCGACAAAGCCAAAAGTATCACTTTAAGAACCCTACATATATGTGTTTTAATTACTTTAAATGTAAAGTTAGAGCAGTTGAAAAAATTTCGTCCAGATGTAAACTTTTCACGTTGCAACAACCCTAAGCAAATGAATGACGTTAGTACATCTATCGGCCCACTAGAGGCGTTCGTATCATTGGCACTCGTGAGAAAAATAGAAAGTGAGAAAGAACTGCTTACCTATTACATTCAACTTACTTTAAATTAAAAGGAAGTTTGATTTGTCCACGTCCCCTTTACTCTTGCAGACATTCTAGAAACAATCCTGGGTGTGCCGATTTTCCACACAAACATTGTGTTAAGCAAGTAAAGTATATTAGTGTAGATACTCTAAACTTGCTTAACACAAACACTAAAGACTAAGATTAAAGCAAATATCACTAAACAGAAAGTTTAAAAGTCGTCAGATATCGATAAAACTATATTTCCGTTCCTTATGACAATGTCACAAAAAGGGTCTAAATTAAAAGTATTTCCAAATGCATTGAAAAATAGACTAGTACAAAAAAAAACGATCTCCCGATATTGCTACCACGAACAAACATCAGGTAACAAGTGCAACTCTAAGCGGTGATTTATGATTGGCTGCAATAAATTACTATGATTTTTAAGTTAGGGTCTGGATAAGCAGGTTTACGAAACTATTGTAATTTGAGTACTTGACGATTATTGTAGAACGTATTTACCTAATTTAGTTTAGTTATGCTTATTTAAGTTAGTCTTATCTTATGACGCAGACAATATGAATTGTATATTCCTGACTGGGTCATTTAGAAAACTTTTCCTATGTGGTTGTAGTTTATGACAACGCATACTTTAGAAACAATAGTATCTTGCGAAGATTCTACGAGAGGTGCATTTTTTCGATAAATGTAAATATTGGGTCGTCAAACACGGGATTTAGGGGTGTTAATTACACTCGAGGTAACAAAACAATACCCGTGTATTAATCATCATTCACATGACGATTGATCAAAGAAAGTGATTGATCAAAGAATGCGACTGATGGTGTGCTGATCAACGACGGAGGTCAACGACCTATTAAAAGTACAAAGTTTTTGCCCTGAGTAACTCCCAGTTGCCTCCAAACAGCTGTGTTTTTATGATGTAGGGTTGACAACACAGACTTTTCAAGCAAATCTTTGTCATTGAATAACTCGGAAACTATTACACTTAGAGCAAAAAGACTGTCAGTACAATTAAGTACATATTTAAGACTCTTGTTTTCGGCTTTGTCGGTCATTCTGTTCCATCCTGTATAACTGAAAAAAAATGTTAACAACTAGGTAAATACAGAAATGAATTAACAAGGACACACTCCATTTCCGCGAACCCCACCAACTGGAATTGATTTCCAGTAGTCCTAATTTTGAAAAGTCTGAAAGGCACAGCAGGCCTTTTTTTATATAGGTTTTATGGTACAGCAAAACTGATAGTGGGTAGTGACAGTATGATAATATCTTATTTAATATATTATATTAACAATACGAAATGCGATGATGCGAACGATGCGCGTTTCTGAAATCGCTAAAATATTTATCTAGCAAGTATAGTTAAGAAATCAGTTTACTATAGCAACTCATGATCGCATGCGTGCGCGTGCGATAGCCAGATGAGCATGCGCACTGATAGGCGTAGCGTGTATAGGCATTCATAGCCTTTAACATATAACAATAGTAATCCAAATTTTCTTGTAACAGTGAACTAGGTTATATTTGATGTTGTTAACTTCTAACCCTGTAGTTAGGAGTAGGTACTAATTAACGATTAATAGCAATGATAATAATAATAACAGAATGCAAGTCGGAACATTGTCACCGATAATCATAATATTTTATAATTAAATGATAAAATTTAAAACTTAAACATGTAAACTTTTTATATCTGCTAAGTGTTAATACAAAAACATATTATCTTTATTTGATGATCTACATTTTTCAATCATTTTCATATCTAACGCATTGGGTAAATTACATTTATTGTTTTACAATTGCAAATTTTCATCCTTTGAATAGAAAAGTGTTTTGGTGACAGATCACATTTCTCGAAAGATTTTGCAGAACAGGGGGTCATCTCTTCAGATTCTTCTTCAAGAATGTTTAGAATTCTTTTAACATTCTCAGCTGCCATAGCAGGTATTTGTTAAACAATATTTTAGTTCAGTTTACAATGTTATACATAATGTTGATACATTACAATATATATATTGAAAACATATTTTGTAATTTATTACATTACATGCTGAAAACATATTAAATAATAAATAACAGACAATGTTATTTGTGATCATAGTGAATAGTATTCATTATTTGATTCTTTCCCGTGAAAGTGAAATCGCTACAATGCTTACTGTGTTCTAGAACTTTCCACTCAAATTAGAAAAATTTTAAAACTAGCTGATCCCATTTATTCACAGTTTACGTAAATATGTAAATACCCATTTGTCAATAGAGAGTCAATTCCTTCCTGTCCACCCCTATCGGATCTTCCACTTCATCATATCATATAAATATTTTCGTCTACCAATTCTCTTTGCCGTTCTATTCGATCCTCTGTGCCCATACCTTTAGCTTTCCTATCCATTTCATTGACTTTTTCGTGTTATTCGTTTTTGCTTCCTGGCTTCCTTTAAGAGAGGGAGAGGTATACTATTGTATAGAGGTATTGTATAGAGGTATGCTCGAAATTGTACTATTTTAATGTTATTTGATTTATGTATTATGTTGATGCATTCAACATATTGTATTAAGCAAATACTTAAGTGATATTTATTTATCGTGACAACATAAATATTTCAAGAAATATTGTAACGGCTTTTAATATTTTTTTTACTTGGAGAATTTTGGCTTAGGCAGAATCCCGCTTGATAATTTTTTATTTCTTTGTTAGTTGTCGTTCTTATAATATTTATGTAATTACTACTACTAATTACTACTAATTGTTACTACTGTTGAATAGGAGGAGAGCCTCAAATATATTTCTTGGTCGGTTGGCGTGGAAAATGTGCCTACAAAATAGCATCAACAACGTCATTGATAAGCATCCCAGTAGCCTTATTGAGATCGTCATCCCACCTCCAAGGATTCTGTTCTGGAACTTTTGGACAATTTGTAAACTGTGTCCTTGTTTCAGTATCCCACGGCGGCTCAATAATAAGTCGTCTGCAGTACTCCGTCTTCAGTTCATATACACTCTATACAAAGTAAGTTACATTGTATTACATTCCTAGTGTAACCAAATTCCGAGCAAAACTGGGCATTACGTCCTCTTGGCCATGTAAATACACACAATCGTGTTTTATGTCTAATAAGATTCAAATACATCTTTCCATCCATCCATGCTTGGGTAGACATGAGAGTTAGTTCGGTTTGTCTATCCTAGACATTAATATATCCATATTTAAAAACACGTTTTTTTATTTTTTTATTCATGGGGTGTATTTTTATTTCAGTTTTTTCTTTAAATTGTGGTGTGCAATACATACAATGAAACGCAGCAAAAGTTTATAGCGTAACCAACGATTACGAGTAACCAACTATTTCAAAACAATATAATGTTAGAAGCTCAGATTACAATGTTTTGTAATCTGAGGTTTGAAGGAAATTTTAAAAATTTTATAATTCATAATTGTATCTAATATAAATAGAAAATTATTGCTCTTAATGTACACACACGCCAGCACATCAAGCTACTCATTGACGTATCTTGTTCTGTTGCATTGGAGGCGATTTTTGAACAAAAATGTGTAGTCTGATATGCCCTTGTCCGTACAAAAGAAGTAAATTTTACTAAAAAAGCCAAGTTTTCAAAATTTTAATATTTTTGACACAAATTTGGATCTAGTAAAAAAAATAGACAATTTAAAATTAATTTACAATAAATGTTTGAATTGTTTACCACCGACTTTCATGCCGGGTCTACATCTACGAATAAAAGTTCTTTTGAGCAGTCGCGTATACGGTCCATCACAAATTGGTAACGAGAGTGCACGGAGACCGCTGTTTGAGTTTTGTAACGATCCGATCGATTTGTTGTACCTATATTTCTTTAAGGAAGCACCAATTAAAAAGTCCAGTACATTTAGAGCCGGTAATGCGGAGGCCATTGGGGCCCCAGACGGCTGATCCATGTCTGGGTTTGTTGTACTGAAATTTTACATGGTACAAAACATGGTTGTTTTTGGTCTCAGTTAATAGAAAAAATAAAGATATTCGCTAAATTTGTGGATTATATCTTATTACGTCTTTTTTTTAGTGAGAAACCAAATATTGGACAAAATATACAATTGACTGAGGATTCCGTCGTCGCTCTCAACATTACGAATTCAACTAACTGTGCGATAATAGTGCATGGCATCAACGATAGAGGATTAGGTGTAATGAGTACAGTCGTACGAGATGGTAAGTATTTTAAACCAACTCTAAAAAAAAAGGGAGAGGGTCCTTTTGTTTGAATTATATTATTATGCATTTTATAACAATAAGAAGCATTCAGTACAATCACATTTCCATCCAATACAATTTTTATGTTATAACGTCTCGGCTTAAATAACCCGATTACTTGCAATGCTTTCTTCAAGTTAAAATAACTATTTTATAGTGTTGGGTAATGAGTGAAACTAATAATATTATTTTTAGCTCTTCTTACAAGTGGGACAGTCAATGTTATTATTGTGGACTGGGCAGAAGGAGCTGCTGAGGAATGGGCAACACATTCTTTAGAGCCAGTCTCAAATGACGCAGTTGAATTAATCAGACTGTTGACAGTTAACAACAGAACAAATCCAGCGAAACTTCATCTTATCGGATTTGATTTGGGAGCCCATATAGTTGGTCTCATTGGCAGAACATCAACTTACACCATAGCCAGAATTACAGGGGAGTGTTATTTTTCTTCTATTAATAATAAAAAACAATAATATTGTGCTAAACAATCATATACCTGGTCTGAAACTAGACTCTTCCCTATAATACGAGTACCAGAGCAACAGAACTCACTTCGGAGCATTACCCATTTATAAATGTTCATTTCTCAAATTGGTCCTACCGGGAATCGAGCTTAAAATCTAGCCATCCAGCACGCACAATGCAAACCCTTGGGTCGACGAGGTTGTCAAATATATTAATTAAAAATAATTAACGTTACTTCCGAGTGTACTTCAATTCTATTTTTAAATTACAGGTCTTAATCCGGCCAAATCTTTAGAAGGGTATTCAAACGCCTTGAGAAGAGGCGATGCCAATTACGTTGAAGTTATACATACGGAAACAACCACACACGGTTTTTTTTATAGTGTGGGTCATGTTGATTTTTACCCTCATGGTGGCAAGGATCAACCCGGCTGTGAAGACGATATCATGTGTAGCCATAACCGTGCCTGGGAATTATTCGCAGCTTCTTTGACTCACGGTCGTGTTGTTGGCAATAAATGTCCAGGTCAACGTGCAGCCACCTCTGATAAACCTTGTACTGGATTTACTCTGGCTTTGGGTACAAACGATTTGGTTAAATACGGGTAAGATAGTTTTGTTCTGATATGTGAATATACTGACAAAATTTAATTACAAATGCAAATCTCAATATATGACCTGTTTGCTGGGCATTCACATTTCACAACGCAATATTGAATTATAACTCGTTAGCGCTACTCATCTAACTTCCATTTTCTTAAAGTTCTAAGTAAGTGTACCTTATACACGTCTGGGTTCAATGCGAGCTGGCAACTTTTGACATGTCTACGTTAAATTTACTATTTTATTAATCCGACACTAGTCCTATGTTAATACAGTAAACTCAATCATTAAAAGTTTTGTTTTTGTTTTCAGATCGGGTGTATACCGACTCGAAACAAATCCAGTGTACCCTTATCGCTGCTTAGTCAAGTGTGGACTGGTCGACAGTATTATAAAAGCAATCGAAAACATATCTAGTGAAGATGATTCTGTAACAGACACTACTGTTACAACTGAGGATTATACGACAGAGGATTATACTACTGAAGATTATACGACTGAGGATTATACGACTGAGGATTATACGAC